CCTCTCCAAGCCCGCCCCCCTTCACCTTCACCCCCTGCCGTTAACGGCAAGCGGAGCGCACTGCCGGTCCGGCACGGTCCCAACGGATCGGATCCCCGGGTCCCGGTGCCCCGCACCACGCGATCAGCATGACGCTTCCGTATGTTCGGCACGATTAGCACGACCAGGGGCACGATCACGATCACCGGGATGAGCACGGTGGCGCCACTACCACGGGACCTACTGATGATTCTCCGCCCACGTCGCAGCACTTCGTGGTTGTGGGCTAGCTAGAATAAATCGAGTAGAGATGCGAAAAGCATCAATGCCCGCCCATGGGAGAGATATAGGGCAGGCTGCCATGATGCTTGATGATTTCTCCTTGTTCAGAGATAGCTCAAGTCGTCTATGAGGAAGCTGCCTCATGAGAGGAACAAGAAGAAGGAAGCCCTGAGGAGCTGGCGTGGCGTAGAGCCGTCTCTAAGCAAAGTAGAGGATGGCTTAGTCTAAGCCGTCTAAGCGGTCTAAGCAGAGGTTAGGTCGCGTGCGTGTCGTTAGGTTTCAAACAGTTTGGAACGGGACTATGAGTGCATAAGCACCTATAGCCTTTGTACCTGCTTTACGAAGGTTTATTATCCACATGATCATTGAGTTGAAATCATTCCAATGCGATATGTCCGTACACTAACCTAGAGGTAACAACACTGCAGGTTTACCTTCTTCTTGTTACTCTTATGAGGCAGCTTCCCCATAGCAACTCACCAACCATGGTAGCCGGGCCCGGTCCCCCCGGGGACTCATCCCGACTTGATCGAATGTGTATCGCCTTACAGTTTCTTTTTCTGATAAGTAGTATAACGCCGGCGATTGAGATAAGCCTCGCACCGCTCGCACAGACGTGACGTTAGGGGGGGAGGAGGGGGGGTCGTACTTTGTATGAAGACCGAGCAGCTGGACCCACGAGCAAGAGCTCCCCCCATCCCCCCGATAACAACGCCGATAACGAAATTAATATTGAGAATTACGCCAACTCGCGTTGTCGACCCTGGCGAACAGTCATCATACCGTCGCAGCGAAACGATGATTACGACACACGACTGTCTCTCTCTCTCACCGAGCTGTTTGCGATTACATCTCTCCCACAAAGATTTACTATTGGCGACGGCGAGCGGCCAGGGGGGCAGCAGGCTGCGGACAATACCCCCAAGGCCGGCGCGGCGGGTGTGTGTTCCACATTGATTCATCGACAAAGGAAAAGGCACCACCGGAGGGCGGCAGTGCGAGCGGAACAGGACCGGCGGCGCCTCGCGGCCCGCGGCCGGCAGCCACGGTAATTAGTTTATTCCCCAAAGTTGGTTCGTGGGGGAGAGAAGGAGAAAAGCAGCGAGAGAGGGGAGGGGGCAGGGGG